TAAAATCAACCCAATAATTTCGCAAAAACAAAACCCTAATTTACAATACACATCCGTAATCACAGAACTAATGCAATAAAAACCAAAAAAAAAGTAGTATCAAAAAATACAACACTGCTACCCACTGGCATAACCTAAAAATAAGTAGGTCACATTCCATAAATAGTAAATAGATATATAATATAATAATAATAATAATAAACAATAAATCAATTCCAAAGATAATGAAAATGGAGACCTGAGCACTAAGCCGCAAAAGGGCAAAAAGTGGAGCATTGACCATTGTAATACCATTCTCTCCACATAGCCCCAATTTAATCTGAACCGAAGCATGGTCCTTCGCAGTAATCAATCTGTTTGTAGCAGAACTGCACCATATTCACAAAAATCGATATAAGTTTCCAAATTCAACAAACAAACAGATAAATCACTTTTAAAAAGGAAATCCCAAAAACAATTAATGGAAATAATAGAAAAATGACACAATACCCACTTCCTAGGGAATGTACAGCGCGGTGATTCTGTCCTTCCTCGTTCTGCATCTTTGGTTGAACCTTAGAAAACTCCTTCAAAAATCTCTACAAAGCGTGAATGGGATTAAAACAATATATTAACAATAGGATACATGAAATTTTCAAAGAATCAAAGAAAGAACAGAAATACAACATAAGAGAGAAGCACACCAGAAGAAGAGACGACAGAGAGTGCGGTAGAGAAAGGACTATGACTGACACTATGTTATAATCCCAAACCCCTAGTCTCCTTCTCTTGGGCTGGGCTTTCTTCGAAAGCCCGAATTTAACAAAGGACACTAAAATATGTTTTTTTTTTAGAAAATGGGAGAATTTCAACCTTCATCGCCATACATAGTTACTTTAGTCTTTAGAAAAATGAAAAATGAAAAATACTATTAATATGTAAAAATATATATATATAATAATTTATTTCAAAATATTATAGCTTTATAATGAAATAATATCTAATTTATTGTCAAATGCATCCCTAAAATTCTATTTTAATAACAAAATAATTTATTAACTTTAGCCACGGAAGATAATTATGTGATTTTTCACAGGTTCTCAAATTAGAATTTTTTTTTCAAAACTAAATTGATACATTTTCACATTATGTGAAAATGAGTTATTTGCACTAAAAAATATAAATAAAATATTCACTCATTCACAATTTTTTACCTACATCATTTTATATAATTGTGTTTAAGAACGGTAGTCTTTATTTGTTCCATAAAAGTTACACTGTATCAAAACCATGAATTTTTTTTGTTGTCACTTACTAATAGAACAGAATACTGACTAATTAAATGGAAAAAACATAATTGAAAATTTTGTGCGAAAATACATACTTAAAAGTGTCATGAAACCCAAATGAAAAAAAAAAAGCATGCATTAATTTTCAATACTATTTTATAGAAACTTAAATTAGTGTATTTTATATAAACTTAAATTAGTGTCTTTTATATAAAATTAGTGTCTTTTATATAAATAATGAAAGGGAAATATCACATCAAACAACCAAGAATATTCATATTTTTTTTATTTCACCTGTCATATATATATATATATATATATATATTTGTGATTTGCTTAGCTTCCATTAACTTTTACATCAAGATAGTTAATTTCACAATTTTAAAGAAAGTTTTTTTTTATTTTAATTTTTTTAATATCTAATTTGAATAAGATAATTTAATTTATTAAATTTTCATTTTTTTATTTGATAAAAGTAATTAAATATAATCAATTACACAGATATGTTAGTAATTTAGTTATTTAAAAATACAATTTAGAAATGTTTCTTAATTGTTGTGGGATGTTGTTGTTTCTTTTACCAAAGTTTGTTAAAAGGTTTTCAATAAATGTTGACAGTTTTTCCCTTCATTGGTTAATCTTAATTTTAGTTAATATTAATTATATTGATTTTTATTAATGTCCATTAAAATTAATTTTTTTAACATAATTGGTTAGAGTTATATTTAAGATAAATTTATTTATTTGTCGGCATAAAAAAAATAACAATAACTTTGTCTAAGAAAATAGCTTACCACCAATCATAGTTATTTTCGGTTTAAAAAATACTTGTATTGACATCACTCAAGAAAAAATGTCAACTTAACACTGTTTCGACTTTGACCAAGTAGATAGTAGTTGACAACAATGATTTAGTTAATGAGAAGTATAAGAAAAGGTTAAATATATAAAAAGAAAAATTATAAATTATTATTTTTAGATGAGATTGAAATTTCTATCATTTTAAATAATTAATTTTTGTTTAAATTACTATATTTTTGTTTAAATCTTTTTGCGTTGAAATAACAGTTTATAAAAAAAAAACTTTCAAATTGTTTCTAAAGTTGAATTCGTTCTTAAAAAATCTTCATTCAAACAATATAATTTGATTTCCTACTCCCCTTCTATTCTATATTAGTGAAAATATACAAATGTTCACTTCCTTGTATGATAATAAAAAATTGTAAAATTATAATCTATTATTATTAAAATTATAAAATTAAATATAAATAATTTTTATAATTTTATCATATGTAATTTTTATATATTTTGTTATGCAAAACATATTTTGTAATCCTATAAAAATAAAACTAACAAATTCTATATGATATTTGTTACGAGGTTGGAATGAATTTTACAAACATTTTATTCTCTTTGACAATAGCTAACACCACAAATAGAAATATAAATCTATGTTTGGATGCATACTGCTTAATATTTGATAACACAACTTATAATCTTTTAAAAATTAAATGTTCAAACTGACCACCCAAAACCATTAAAATCAATCTAATATAATTTTGATAACTTCCTGTGAAATGCATGATTAACGGGGCTGACGATGAAAGATAAAATTCAGTACACTCAAAGATAAAAAGATAAAATACAGTACATTCTACAGGAATGCGAAAATGAGAGATGTTCATAACTATTTGAACCGAATAAAAAAGATGTGTAATGCATGGAAACAGCTCATCAACCCGTGAAGTTTGAAATGAACCATGCCAAAAGCATCAACACTGATCTATGCCGAACCATTCTGCTGCCATTTTTAAGGATTTTCTGTTTCAGGCTTCAACTCACGCAAAGGAGATTTCTCTCTCTCGGTGACTGAAGGAGAAGGTGAGCTCTCCAGACCAATTTCTGCTCGGAGTTCATTGATGTTCTGCTCCAATTCCTCTATCCTATTGCCCATCTCATCGAGTTCATTGGAGTTAAGAAAACCAGTAATAAAATAATTTAATAATTTATGATATATATCTGACACAATTTTCCAATAATATGTTGTAAGAGATTAGTAAAATTGTAGACCAAAGGATATTCTTTGAAATGATGGAGTTTGACATAGTCTGGAACCTGCTTTGCTGCAAATTAAGACATACACATGATAAAACAGTGTAATGATTTCACTTATTTCTCAATGGAAATTTTAACAATCAGACCCAACAACTTACCATCTGTTGAAGAAGATTTTGTACCTGCAAGGAGCAGCAATTCAATTAGGAAACACACAGCAATTGATTCTTTGAGAGAGGATGGTAGAATTCATCAATGTATTGTTTGGATCAAGAAAAAACTTGACATACATCAATTGACTCTACTCATTTTTTCTTAGACATAAGGTGGCTCTAGCACATATTAAGAATACAGCATACCACAGACCATAGGTCCTTCCATAATTTTAAATGCAGACTTTCCACTATGATGAACATGTTAGGGTCACCTTAAAATTATATTCTATGAGAATTTAACCGTACACAAACTCATGAAATCTATAGCTAGCCCATTTTTATTTGTCCATCCACGGTGGAGAAAAGAAAAGATTCGTAAGGTACTCACAAAAGCTGTCATATCAGCAGTGCTCTGTTTAGTGTCTTCTGCATCATGTGCACTCTGCCAAAAGCAAAAATGGTGAGATAAAACGGAGTAATGCCAGATTGCCACTAATGGTTATATATTCCACATTCAAGAGAGTTTAGTTCCATAAAAATAATGATAGACAGAACAATTAATTTCATTTCAATTAAGTCGGCCACAACTATTTGTTGGTACATAACAAAAGCAGCCTTCATACTATAAAAATGCATACATGAGCTAATCTGCAAATGGTTAACAAGACTAGTCATACCAAAGTTCAAACACAACAATATTCAACTTTCTGCTAAATGGTTTGATCAACTTCATAACCACCAATATAACATCCAGTTCTCAAGCACTGTTTAATGAATAATTTGCATCTTAGGCAATAGTTTGTTAATTAGTCCTGCCCATCTCTTAGAAACCCCACCCCAACCAGCAACCAAACACAAATCCTCAGACTAAAATTATTCATAATCAGGGCATTCTCAGCACTACAAAAGAAAGCCACATCCTCCTTAACACACAAGGAATCACAACAACCATCTTGGCGAGTTTAACATCTAAAGCCACAACAAAGCAATCCTTGTTCTCGGGGGAACTACAATCATATACACCATTTGTTACTAATACAATGAGGGTTACCACGCCAACAATCAAACACAACATGAACTTCCAAAGTTAAAACTGAATAAATCAAAATTAGACAGAAATATCACCGCCTGCTTCCAAACATCAAACTAAATTCCTCCGAAATGCAAAACAGTTTCTTCAACCACATGATTTTCTCATTTCAAAGGATTTGATTATCTAAATGAAGTAAGAATAGAGCAATATTAACAGTTGACCCTTTTAAATTTGTTATGATTGCATCAATGAATGAAATTACTAACTTTACCTTCTAAAATAAGTTGCTCAGTTAAATCCCAACCTAAAATCTAATCAACTACACAAAATAAGAAAATATTTCATAAATTCAAAATACACCACAAGCCAAACCCAATAGCACAACTAAAAACATGCAACTACTAAAGAAAACAACAATGCTGTAATTTACCCCGACACCACCGCATTTCAAAACACACTATTTGAAAACCCACAAACCCGAAATGAAAAGGTAACACTGACGCAAGAATCACGAATCCAACTTATCGTCACTCGAAGAGTGGGAAAAACAAAAAACAGAAAAGAGTAGAAATTTTGATCACGATCCTAGGGTTTCCGTTTTCTGAACCGAAAGTGGCAAGTACCGTTCTCCTACGTTTTCTAGCGTTTTAGCGTTTAAAAAAGGAAGAGAATGCAAGGAAAGTAAAGCTTACCATGTTGGAGTGATTGAGCGTGTTGAGTTGATTGTTGCAGAAAATGGCGATGGTTGAAATCTCTCTGTTATTGTATTTGAGTGTTCAGGGAATGTTAGTAGCCTTGAGATTCAAGAAAGGGAAAAGCAAATAAAGCTCCTTAAATTCATCCTACGTTGCTCATTTTACTCTCTTTACACTTTTTTGCCTTCCAATTTAGTCAAAAAAAAAAAAAACAGGAATGCACTTTATAAAATGAAATGAGGACTGGACACTTTAGTTTTAGAATGTAAGACAAATAAGAAAAGATAATAAATGTCATTAATTCTTCCAGGCTTCTTTTCTGAATGAGATATGTATTTTCTTGCATATGATTATAAAATAAAATTAACTCTTATAAAGTCAAATAAAAAAATAAAGAAGATAAAAAAAATTGTACCGATGAGAGATCTTGTATCAACTTAAAATCAGATGAATTTATAATTTATAATATTTAAATACAAACTGTCATTCTACAAATCGGTTTTAATGAATAAATTAAATTTAAATTTTATTTTTTAATATAATATTAAAATCATAAATTAGAATTTATATCAGTAAAATTTGTTGTTAGCTTAGGTTGATCGTGTTGTTAATTATCGGATTGATATATCGTACCCTGCCCACTTAATGTTTTTATATTCAACATATAAATACGTAAAAATCTAATTTTATAAACCGATTTTATAGAATTAAATTACTCATTTTTTTAATATATACATTTGTATTTTATTTACATCTTAGACATATTTATATTATTTTAATAGATTTTTAATTTTATATTCTTTATATGTATGACAAATTAGTTTTGATATAATCTAAAAGATGTTGTAATTAATTTTGATATAAAATTAGGATAATGATATTTTGACATTTTTTTGATAATATTTTAACATTATTTATGTGTCATTATGTGAATAGTTCAAAATTATTTCACAATCAATAATAATAATCATAAACACTAATATGAACTAATCACAGAATGACACATAGATAGTGTTAAAATATTATAAAAAATGTTGTCAAAGTATCATTATCTATAAAATCAACTGGTGATTTGAAGGGAGTTGATGGATGATCGGTGGAAGCAAGTTGACATGTTCATAAAAGAAATATTGAATATTGTAAATAAAATGAACTCCTTTGAGAAAGTTACTAAATTTTTATTTTCCTTAAATACCTTGAGTTGAAAAAAAGGAAAGGAGAAGTATTAGTTGAACGATGTCCTATTCCTAACTTTGCTCCAAAACACTCATTCACCAATTTAATCTCTATCCTACCATTGGCATGACTCTTCTCCATTTTTGCTCAGAAAAAAGTTTCCATGGCTTCTCAAAGCTTGCACGACGGAAAGAAATCACAAGCCAGAAGAGCATTACGATCGCTAGCCATAGGCCTAGCAGTTCCCTTCAGCCTAACACTCACCATAATCATTCTCTTCGGTTCGGGACGAAGGTACAACAGCGTATCAAAGCCCTTCTGGTTCGCACCACTATGGTTCATTAACTTGGCTTCGTTAGCTTCGTCTTTGTTTATGGGTCTTGCAGCATGGTTAGTTTGGGCTGACGGTGGCTTCCAAGGAGAAACCGACGCAATGTCTCTTTATATAGCTCATCTCTCTCTCAGCATTGTCTGGCACCCTCTTGTCCTCATCATGGCTGCTTATTGGCTTGCTTTGCTTTCTTGCATCATCAACTTTTGCACCCTCTTTATGTGCTACTTGAGGTTTAGAAAGGTTAACCCTTTTGCCAAAGATCTAGCCAAACCTTGTTTGGCTTTCGCTTTGTATCTTTCTCTTGTTAGCTTCAAGCTAATGTTTATCTGATTATTCCTTCATCGTCACTTTCTGCAAATTCTCGATTCTCTTAGGTACAGAAACATGTGTAATCTTCAAATAGTGTTACCCTATTTTAATCTCCTTCGTATTCAGCATTAGTTAATCATTATTTCTCAGATATCTCGAAAGCTTTTCTCCTCGTTTTGCTGCATTCTTCGTTTTCGTTCACACAAAAACAGTTTCTGCTATATGTTTTGAAGTTCATGGCAAAACCAGGAAACAACTGTAAACAATCACTTTTCATGCTGTTAACTTCGTAAAAATTAACGTAATAAAACATGTAGTTTCGATGTGTTTGCTTGTTGTATATTATAACAATATATAATTTTCTTTTAAAGAGTAATTTTATTAAAAACAAAAATACAACATTGGAATAAAATCAAGATCATGATAAGAAATGGTTTAATCCAGACCTTTTTTATTATTATTTTGACTAAAATATTTCTTTAGAGTCTGTAAAGTATCTTTTTGGGTTTGGAGTACTGTAGAGCATTGTATGAAAAATGAGTCTTGCTCTTCATATGAATTATTATTTGTTCTGCAAAAATTAATATTAAAAAAATAAGAAAATTTTAGCAACCGATGAGTTATTGTATAAAAACAGATTTAGCAACTAATAATTCAAAATAATTAAGCAGTGAGAAATTGTAATACATAAAGAAAAAAAAACAGTGTTTCAGTTTCAATTAAAAAATTAATCACGTTATATAATCCTTTCCTCTTCCAAAATTAGCAATTTTTTCATGGTGATAGTTTATATGTTTGGCAATACATATAATGACAAATAAATTAGTTTATACAAAACTTAATCTGAATTTGTAATAAGGTACAATATTTTCAAGTTTTTATTTGTAAAATACTATAGTTAAAATATTTTAAAACATTCTAAACACAACAACACATGCATGAAAGAGGCCAAGTGTGAAAGGGGTCTAATTAGAGGACCACAAAATTTAAAAAGGATAAGCAATTGTTTAGCATTTTTTTAATTCCTGATATTATCATAAAGTACGTATGAAATGAGAACCACAAAATTTAAAAAGTATAAGCAATTGTTTAGCATTTTTTTTAATTTCTGATATTATCATAAAGTAGATATGAAACGTTTTCTCATTTTAAGTCTGTGTTTTTCATACTGCCTTGATTCTTTTCCTTTTCAAGTAAAATATTATGCTTGAAAAAGAATATTTTGATTGAATTTTATTTTATAACATTTTGAAATTAAGTAAAATATTTTGCTTGAAAAAGAATATTTTGATTCAGATATTTTTATTACATTTTGAAATCATAAACGTATATTATATCAAAATATTATAAAAAAAATCTGTGTTAATATATTTTGTTTTCTCCCATAACCTTTTAGATGTGATTTTATTTTCTCTAAAAATACTTATCTATTCTCATCTATATAGAAATTATTAATATATATATATACACACACACAGAAAAAATACACGTTTTTTTTTATTTCGTGTGACAGTAGAATACTATGTTTGTCATTGCGAAGAAAAGTGGGATAATGTACTAATTACTGAGCTCAGAGTATTTCCTGACATTACAGTGAAGGTGGTTTCCTCAGTCCTTCCGAATGTTCTTCAGTTTAAACTATGAAACATGGTTGCATGTTATATTGCTCCATGATTGCTTAATAGATCCGTCAAATCCTCCCTGTGTACCCAAAAACTGAAGACGAAACTACTAAAATAGTGAGAAATACATATTGAATCCATTGCCTCTTTCAAAACCTTTCTCCACAGCAAATCAGTTCACACATAACTCTGCAAACTGTATTACTGTAACTATCAGAGATTGGATCAAAATTATCATCTTTAACGACCAGTTTTCCTATCTCCGTAACACTTCAAAAAGCTTCAGTATCTAAGTTGCGGTTCCAATCATTAACAATGTCTCTTGTATTGAAATCTCAGACAGAACAGTCCAAACTAAGATTGGCTCAGAAGCAGAAGAAGTTGCATCTTAACAAGAGATAGACTCCTTCCTCGGGCGCTTTACCAACAAGGGGGAATGATAACATAGAAAGAACAACAAATTCATCCAGCAATAAAGAAAGGAATTATTCCGAATCTGACAATTGTTCATTAATCAATTTATCCACAAAATGAACCAACAAAGTCCAGGAAGAATAGACACAGAAAAGAACGGCATTTTTTTTCTTTTCAAATAAATCACTATAACTCAAAGGCAAAACAAATTAAAGATTACAATTTTCAATACTATCATCATCATCATCACAGGCAGCTACAAAGCAGAGTATTGTGGCAGCAGATGATGAATATCAAGTAGCAGTAGTATGAATTAGAAAAATGAACCAACATCACCAAGTTTGGACTAACCCCAACTTTGGCGTCAACCTCAATTTTTTGGGGTCACCGGGACCACAGTTGCAACCGCATCAATCATATATTTCTGCAATTTCCGAAATCGCGCTGACAAAATGTAACCTATAAGCTCCACGATCAAGAAGAAGGGAGCTTGATAGCTTTGAAAGCAGGGTGAAGCAACCCAAGGTCATCCTTGATCTCAAGAGGGTTGCTAGTATCATTCCTCACTTTCTTCACCCTGCGACTAGCAAGGGACTGGTGAGTGAAGCCATACATCTGCAGAATCTGGTTATCCCCAAAATTATAAGCCCTATCCATCTGCTTCAAGCACCTCTCCACAGGGTAATCCCCAAACTTCCCGCAAGGCTTGCACCCCACAAAGTGGGTCACCAAAGGCCACCTATGATCCCCAAGTCCCGGATGATAATTCTCAATCATCTCCTCATAACGGTCCACCAAAATCCCCCAATACCCGTGCAAGTAATAATGATTCTCAAGGTAAACCTTGTTACCCCATGTTTCCTTCCCAGTGGCCAACAAATAAACCATAGCAGATTGATCATCAGCTTCAAAAACAGGCCTATTCTTAAGCTCCCTAGTGAGCACTTTCCCAGCCTCATCCCTAATCTTCCCTTTAGGCCCCATAGGAGCCCAAGCATCAAGAATATCCAAAGACCATTGGCAATTCCTCAAAAGAAAACTCCCAGTGTTCAACCCAATCCAATTCTTCTCATCATACACCATCTCATTCCACCCGTGCATAACAAAGTTGGAATCTTTGTACCTCTCCCAGGGAACCTCAAAAGCCATGTCGGTGAACATTGCATCACTGTCCATCCACCAGAGAAACTCCACTTCAGGGTGCGACAGTAAAAGTTTACGAATCAAGGGAAGCTTGGCCCAAAACCCTGCCATCTCAGCGTCCAAAAGAGCCATGTTGTAGAAAATCTCAATCCCATGAACCCTACAATAGTCAATCT